GAGGCGCCGCTGTGCGATGGACCGGGCTCTTCCGCACAGAACGGCCGGGTCGGCCCGCCCTCTGCCTCGACCTTTCCACTCAGTAACATATATCCAAAGTCAGGTTTCCTCCCGTGCTCTTCCCAGCACCACAGCCACGTGTGCTTTCAAAACAAACGGCCGGAACCGGGCCGGACCGCCCCGCCGCCGCGAGGAAGAGGCTCCCCCAGACGGGCCGGGAGCGCCCGGACGGCCCCGCCGAGTCCCGGGGGGTGTGTCCGCGGCGCCTGCCCCTCGCAGCGGCCCGGACCCCGCTTTCTCGGGGGGCGGGGGAAGGCTGGGGAGCTCTCTGCAGAGCGCCCGGACGCCATCCCCAAGCCAGACCTCCTCGGGGGCTGCTGCTCTACTCCCAGTGAAGGGGGGAGCGTCCAAATGAGCCCCAAAGCCCTCCACTGGGGAGCCCCCGGCCCCCACCCCAGGCTTCCAGGGGACGCCCCGCTCCGCCCCGGGGTCTCTGCACGAACAGTGATCCCCCCAGCCCCTCTCTCTCCCTCCCCCGCCCCCCAGAGGCAAGGGGGGACCTCGGAGCGAGGCCAGAGGGAGTGGAGCCGCGAGCAGGGTGGGCGCAGCGCCTGGGGCGCCCGGGAGGGGGTCTCGCCCCGGGACCCACCAGCTGCTTGAGGTCCTCCTCCGAGAGCTCCGCGTAGCGGTAGCGCTGCTGCTCGAACTCGTAGCGGGTGGTCTTGGCCACCACCACCACCCGGGACGGCCGGAAGCCGCCGTCGGGACGCCGGCCGCAGCCCGCCAGCTCGCGCGCCTGCCCCTGCCCCTGCCCGAGGCGCCGCCGGGCCCCCCCGTCGCCGCCGAGCCGCGGCCGCGCGCCGGGGCCTCCCGCGCCCGGAACCCGCAGCGCCGCCGCCCGGCCGCCCGCGACGCGACGACAGCTGCCCAGCAGGAAGCCCCGGTAGCAAGTCATCGTCCGCCCGGCGGAGGGTGCAGGCCCGCGCTCCCGCCTGCGCCCGCGCCGCCCCGGCCTCTCACTGGGCGCCGGGCGGCCAGAGGTTAAGTGCGGGGCCCTGCGCGGCCCGCGCCGGGAGGGGGACGCGCCCGGACGTTGAGGGGGCGGGGCCAGCGGGCGATTGGAAGGGGCAGAGCCCACGCGCGGGAAAGGTGGGCGGGACGAGCCGCGGGCCTCGGCGTGGTGGGCTGTGTTTGTGGGTGGTGGCGTTTCCACCCGCGCCTGCGCAGACGCCGCCTAGCCGCCCGCGGGCCAGCTTCTCGCCCCACCCCTTTCCTGCGGGCGCGCTCCCGCCCGAGCCCGCTCTCTCCGCCAATCAGCCCCCTGCCAACTCGCTCGGCCAATCGGGACGCGCTGCGCCCGAGGAGCTGCGGGGATTGGCTGCGGCTGGGGGAAGGGCTGGGATTCCATTTGGCGTTGGAGCTGCCCTGAAGAATCCAGCTGGAACCGGTCGGAGGCCACGCCGCCGGGGCTGCGGGCTGGTGTTTGAGGGGCTGCTGGGAAGGCCTGTGGTGGGCGTCTTGCAGCGGGTCTGCCCCTTTTCCTAATTGCACAGGAGACGAGGCCACCGCCCTGGCCCGCTGTGCTCAGTGGGGTGAGCTCGGCCCCATGCACCAAAAGGCACGGTTGGATACCTGGCCAGGGCACAGGTTCAGGTTGCGGGTTCGAACCCCAGTAGGGTGTGTGAAGGAAGCAGCCTATGGATGTTTCTCACCGTCTCCCTTCCTCTCTCTAAAATCAATTAAAAAATTTTTTAATCACATAAATGTAGATCTGCTCATTATTCCTCATAGGACTAGACCTTTTTTTTATTATTCATTCAACCAACACTTGTTGCATGGCTGATACTTACAAGGCTGGTGTAGGGGCTGAGGAGACCTTCCCAGGACCAGCTGCATAATTTGCAGGGCCTAGTGCTGACCACCCAACAAAAAACTTAGCTCAGAGGAAGAAAGAGGTGGGCAGCCTTTGAGAAAGTTAGTGGGTAGAGGAGCCTGGCCAAGTGCAGCCTTTCCAGATTAGGTTGGAAAAGTAGGACGAGACCAAAGGGTTAAGAATGTTAGCAATTTGGACTTTATTCTATGTATAGGTAGGGGTTAGCCTTTGAAGGCTTTTACCTGGACAGTGGGTCCTGGAAGCAATGTTTGATGACTATTGATCTGGCGTTGGAATGTTGAGCACATCGGAGGGCAAGGGGGAGGAGGGAGAAATGGGTGCTGTTGGCAACAGTTGCACGTGGATCGGGGCTGGGGAAGTAGTTATGGAAGTGGAGGAAAATGCTCCTGTTATAAGAGGAGACTCAATGGCAGTGCACACCCTAGTGTTTATCCATCCTGCTGCTTAGGTCCACTTGCTCTGGCGCCCTCTTTGATCCTCCGCAGTCCTAGCACTATCAGTAGCTGGCTTTTGGACTTCGGGCAGGTTTCTTCATCTTTCCTGGCTCCAGGTTCCTCGCCTGTAAATGAGGGAGCTGGACCGCAGTGATGCCAAGGTTCTGTCAAGCCCAACGTGGTTCTGAATCTGCGACCCTTACTTCTCACCTAACTGCTAGCAGCTACCACCGACCTAGCACCTACCACCAACATTCATTCGCGGGTTCGCTGAATATTTACCGAGTCCCTGCTGTGTGGCAGGTCGTATATTAAGCTGGGAAATACACCATGGACTCTGACAGATGTCTACTTTCAGTAGTCGCTGATCCCTTCTGGCCAGGAACTTTGCCTTACAGCAGCTGCTAATGGTGACCTATAGAAGAACTTAAGCATAGCTTTAAATATCTTGTGGAATGTTATAACTTGAACATCCTCAAGGTCCTTGCTAATTTTTGCTGTTCTAACACTTTGTAACTCCTTAGATATTAGGCAAGAAGAAAAGGAAGAAGTCACGTAACACAGGTTTGAAGCTTAGGTGTAGCGTGGCGTGTCATTGATCCACTTGACTGAAAAATGAATCCAGAAAACCAGTTTGGGATCAAAGTCTTTGAGTTTGGTCTTGTTATATGTGAAATTTCAGACCTCTTTCCTTCCCGTTTCACAGATAAGATCTCAAATTTTTGGATCTCCCCATTTTCACATACAAACTTACCCACATTGACATCTTCTCAGTTAGGGTAGCCCTTTGTCCTCTGGTATCTTTGGACCCCAGCCCTTCTGCCTTCTCAAATTCTCACTCTACTGGATTTTCCTCTTCATTATTTAAACATGCTCATATCTATAACATCTTGATATTTTTCCCAGCCCTTAAATGACTTGGTCTTTATGCAACATTTGAAATGCTTATCATTTACTCTTGAGATTTTTTACTTTGGCTTCCAGCAAACCAGTCTCTAATGGTGTTCCTCCCATCGCTCTGTCCCCTTTTGGGTTCTTCCTAAGCTTGTCTTCAGGATCTATTCTTCCCTTCCCTTCCCTTCTTTTCCCTTCCCTCCCTTCCCTTCCCTTCTCTCTCTCTCTCTCTCTCTCTCCACTCTTCTGCATGAGTTCATCCAGTATTGTGTAATGAAAAGAGCTTGGACTTTGGATTTAAAGACCTTGGTTCAAACCCCAGCTTCACCATTTATTAGCTTTGTCAACCTGGGACTAGTTCTGTAACCTTTCTTATTCTACTTTTTCATTTATAAAATACTAGAGTTCCAGTGCACGAATTCATGCACCAGTGGGGTCTCTTGGCCTGGCTTGTGGGATCGGGCTGAAACCGGCTCTCTGACATCCCGAGGGGTCCTGGATTGCGAGAGGGTGCAGGCCAGGCCGAGGGACCCCACTGGTGTAGGATTGGGACTGGGGAGGGATGCAGGAAGTTGGCTAGCCAGGGAGGGACCATGGGAAGGCTCCAGGGCATGTCTGGTCTGTCTCAGTCCCAAGCTGTCGGACCCTAGCAGCAAGCTAACCTACTGGTTGGAGCATCAGCCCCCTGGTGGTCAGTGCATATCATAGCAACTGGTCGACCAGTCAACTGTCTGCCCCCTAGTGGTCAGTGCATGTTGTAGCGAGTGTTTGAGCGGCTTTAGCATATCATTAGCATATTATGCTTTGATTGGTTGAACAGATGACCAGACACTTCGCATATTAGGCTTTTATTATATAGGATATTAGCTACCTTGTAAAGTTGTAAATATATGTACAAATGCCTAAACATGTGCCCATTATAAAGTATACACTTGGCAAATAGTAGCCCCTTTCCCCTTACATGACTTTAGCTACTACCAGCATCTTTAGCCCAGACTGCCTCATGTGCTTCAGATCCCTTTTTCTAACTTTCTGTTGAGACTTACGCATACAACACATGTCAGTGGAGAGCAAATTATATTCGGTTGCTGCTATGGGCCAGGCACCCTACTAGGGTAAATAAAATGTTAAATAAAAGGTATCTCACTCCCCCGCACCCGCAAGGGGCACAAAGTTTACACACAGAATTCTACAAGAATCTGGAAGGTCTTAACTCAGCCTAAGAGGAGTTAGGGAAAGCTTTCTGGAAATGTCATGAGCCAAGCCTTAAAGAATGGGTTAGTATTCGCGAGAATGAGCAAGGGTGAGGAAGAAATTCCACAAAGGTACGGAGCAATGAAACACCAGCTCTGAGTCCCTAGAGAAGGAGACAGAAACAGTGGGAGGGGAGGCTAGAGAAGTAGACAGGGAGAAAGACATCAAAAGTATTACATCCATGCTTAGAAATTTGGCTCTTATCCCATATATGCTGGGAAGCCACCAAAAGGAGAAAATGATATGCTTTGCAAAGATTATGATCAGGAATTTCTTGGAAGAAACACAAGCAAGGAATAAATATCTGAAAGATACTGAACCTTATTAGAAATTAGAAAAATACAAATTAAGGTAATAGTAAAATAGCCTTTTATGTCCACTAAATTGGCAAAAATTAAAAAGTCCTGGTAAACTTCTAATTCTTGAAAACTACACACCAAGTCTTTATTAGGCTAAACACTTACCAGTTATTACAATAACTCCTCCAATGTCATAGTTTTCAAATATCAACACATTTTCAGAAGTCATTTTGGAGTTGTAACTCTTATTCCCTGGTTATACACTGAATGTTCTCAAGAAATTCATATGTTGAAGCTCTACCCCTCCCACCCACCGATATGATAGTATTTGGAGATGGGGCTTTGGGAGGTAATTAGGGTTAGATGAGGGCATGAGTGGGGGGAGCCTGGTCTGATGAGATTATAGAAGAGACCCCAGAGAGCTTTCTCCCTCTCTCTCTCTCTCTCTCTCTCTCTGCCATGCTCCCACAAGAAGAGACCACGGGAGCACACAATGAGATGGTGGCCCCCTCCAAGCCAAGAGAAGAGGCCTCAGAATGAACCCACCCTGCCAGCCTCCAGAACTGTGAGAAGTAATGAAGTTCTGTTGTTTCAGCCCAGTGCGTGGTATTTTGTTATGGCAGACGGAGCAGACTAAGATGCTGCTAACGGGAATTGTTTAGGGGTCACAATCTAAAGTCATTTTTAAGCCAGGGATGATCAAACTGGACTGGAAAATGAAATATGGCTCTAAGTACTGAGACTAATTTTCTTGTGTGACACATTAAGTGTCTCTGAAACAAAAATTGAAAGAGGGGCATCAAAACTCGCTTGCATGATTGTTGAAATTACTGTTGAATTTTTGAGAAAAATTTCATTTGGCTATTTGTGATATATTTGTTTTAAAAAGGTCTCTATACAGCCACACCCACTCAAATAGTAATGACAATTACATAAATAAAGCAAAGGACAAGTTAAATTATTTCAGTTTTTGTATACTTACTGTTTTGATACATAGGTAATGTATTTTATACATTCCTTCAACAACTATTGGAGGCTGGCTGTCAGTCAAGAATATACAAGGTACAGTGGATACGCGTCTAAGAACAAATATTCTCTTTAAAGGAATACATGAGTACATAATCTTACAGTATTAGGAAGTCCAAAGGCTAAATGAAAATACACGTGTCTCAGAAGAAAAACATGTTTTAATGAAATGTTATGCAGTTAGAGTGGTTTTCAAAGAAATGACTGGAAATATTATAAAATATTTGTTTTATGGCCACACAATGCATGACTGAAAAAATAAAGATTTTACTTAGCTATTTATCAAATCCAGGAATTTATCATTTTAACTATTATATCCATCAATGTGATGAATAGTCCAAATTAGTTATCAAATCCTATTCTAAGTTAACTTCTCCAAAAATGACACATTTTGAACTTCCAAAGTCCATGTATTTCTTAAATTCTGTCATTTTCTCAACAATAATCAAAATGTAAGACCTCAGAATTACCAGACTACATAAGAGAAAAACTTCAATTGCAACAAATATATTTCATGAACTTTTCTATTAAAACTCTTCAAGGGATGAAAAGGATCTTCTCGTTTAGTGAAGACGGCTTAGTATTTTCAGTTGGTGACCAATCTTTGTGTAGATGTCGTCATGTTATAGTAGGTGGCACTCATGAACAGGCAACTGACTGTCGGTGGGTCCACCTAGAAGGATCTGTGACATAAATTTAAAATATTTTATTATACAATGTTAGATTCAGATTTGATTTAATATTGAATTCAACTGAACAGGAATACTCATGAATATGCTTACTGGTGTGGAAATGAAATATAGAAAACTTATATTTTTTTAAGTAACTTTTGGAAATATTGCTTAATGTTAAACATGACATTTTCAAATAATTAAACCCTTCCTGAAATCATAAGTAACAGAGTTTCAAAAATTACACTTTTTATCACTTTCATAACATTTTAGCATTTGTATGCTACACCTCTTGGAGAAGGTACTAAGTGAAAGGGGGAAAGGAGAAGGGAGGGGTTCATATTATTGTCATTATTTCCATTGTTTCTCATCTTATCTAAAAATAGTTGCATATTAAAAACAACAGATTCTATAAACAGGTTATTTCTTGATGAAACTTTTGCAATTTAATCCTTCTTTCAAGTTAACATTTTAGTGGCTACCAACTCATTTTCTAATAGACCCCATTTTATTGTTGACAATATAAACTTTATAATATAAAAGATAGAAATTTTATACATTTTATACATTTCAAAGAATAATAAGCCATCTGTTTAATAATAACAAGAGAAATCATATTCACTCAGTTCTCTGAATCACTGGGACAAGCAATTTCTGATGCTAATCTGCATATTGGTCTTGATTACATTTTTAGTATTAGGCAAAGGAAGATATTTCATTGAGTTCTGCACATGATGGATTATTAAATTATGTCTGATTAAAGTAGCTTTAAGATTTAAAATGATTAAAAGTTGGACAATTGTTTATCTTTGTAAAAGTATATCCCTCAGTCCTCTGTAGAGCAGAATCAAGGCTAAATGAAACTATTACTGAAAATATTTGGCTGACTTTATTAGATACTTACATCTATATAACAAATCTCATTGTTTCCTTGACAATGGTTTTCTCCAAAAATAATGATGAACTTTAATTTTACACCCACACATCAGGATGAACACCTAAAAGTCTGTTTCCTACTGGTTCCACTTCCACCTCGCTCAAGTCATGAATCCTGACACAATAAAAGAAAGAATTCAGCCCTAGCTGGTTGGGCTCAGTGGATAGAGCGTTGGTTTGCGGACTGAGGGGTCCCAAGTTCGATGCTGGTCAAGGGCACATGCCCAGGTTGTGGGCTTGATGCCCAGTGGGGGGCATGCAGGAGGCAGCCAGTCAATGATTCTCTCCATTGATGTTTCTGTCTATCTCTTACTCTCCCTGCCTCTCTGAAATCAATTTAAAAAAAAAAGAAAAGAAATAATTCATTTGCACCAGGCAAAGAAAGTCTTTGAAAATAAAGCAGTCAGATTCCAAAAAGGGAATAAAGAGGGTTTTTGATGTTTGCAGCCAGATTTGCCTGATGGCTCCACTACAAGTATTTATAATTTCTCCTATTATGGCTAATAATAGGAGAATTAGAGCAAGTGAAGAGAAATATGGATAAATGGTTAGTTTCAGGGCAGCCATTAATACTTTAAATTGTAAAAATGGTCTTTTATACCATTTATATGTAAACTAGAGGCCCTGTGTACAAATTCGTGCACAGATGGGGTCCGGCCGGCCCGCCCCAATCGGGGCCAATCAGGCCGGGCTGGCCAGGGGGATGGGCTGCGGGCGGTTGGCGGGCCCTGCCCCTGGTCGAACTCCTGGTTGAACTCCCCATGGAGGGGACAATTTGCATATTAGCCTTTTATTACATAGGATGATATGCACCATCATGATGAGGCTGACTTGGGTAAAATCCCAATGAAGGCCCATTTAGAAGACAGATTTTTAAACCCACTCCCTGGTCCAAACAGCAAGGGCTCTCATGCCGACCACTGTAAACAAATCAGTAAGTTCCACTTTTTAAAAATTGGCTTCATACATTAGGATTGTGCTTAAGGTTCCTTTCTCAAACTGCTGACCTGCCAGAAGGTAAGTGCTTTACCTGATCTATTTTTAGTGCCTTGGGTGAAACCATCCTCATCCTCATCACAGCTGTCGCAGTTTAGTTGTGGGAGAGTTGCTTCTGCCTGGCTCTCAGCTTGATTGACGTCTTTCTGCTTCTCGAAGCTTCGAAGAGCAACAAGACGGTGATGTATGGCTGCATACAGCGATTCTGTGTCTTTGGCACTGGCCTGCATGAGGAAAATTCTGGGGTTAAGAATAGAAATAATAATAGCCACATTTTAAGGATTTTTAATCTTTCACTGTTAACAAGGAAGGAACTACATGGCATAAATCTAGAATGTAAACAACCCTAACCACTAAAGGGTAAAAAGTCCATTTATCTTGAACCAAACTGAATCCTAAGGCAGATAGTTTTGTAAGAGGTCCCAATTTGTGCATTTTAAATGGAGAAAATGAAATTTTGTGATTGGAAATTTCTTTTTGAATTTAACTTTGTAACGACCATCCTTCCTCCACGATTTTACCCTGTAGAAAACTGTAGAATTGGGGGGTGGGGGGGAAGAGGAGGGGCGACTCCATTTCCTTTACATCACTTTGCGTGGACATGCCCTGCAAGCTTACTAAAGACAGTACTTGTTTTCGGGACTTTTTGCCCATCAGAAGTACTTGTTTTCAGTACCTTTCTATGCTATTTTTATGGTTGCTACAAATATCAAAAGGATGGTAACAATACCATTTGTATAACAGTTATTGTTATTCTATTGTTACCCATTTTTTACAATAAAACTGTGGTTATTTATCCATTAATAGGTGAGGAGAGGATGGCTCAGAAAGGTGCAATGACTTACCTGACTTTACACAGCTAGTTGGCAAATTGCCTGGCCCTTGAATCCCAGGTTTTTGTCACCTAACTCAGTGTTCTTTAAGGTAACATGGCAGTAGTTTGTAGGTTTGTATCTTTTCACAATTTCAAAGAAAATCTGGGACATTTTTTCTCTTTGCTAACCTTCCAGAGAGTTACCAAACGTTTTAAAACTGAGAATTGAGGGTTGAGCCAACTATATGCCAACTCTTGGGAGAAGGGTTTTAAAGTTGGGTTTTTTTTATATGCATGTATTTAAGTTGCCTTAAATACTTGTGGGTGGAAAAATTTAAATATAAATGCAATAAAATATTTTTGTTTCTCATATTGTATTTGATATTACAGAGTAGTTATTAAATAAATACTTGTTGACTTGACTAATTTAATTTTTTATATTGTGTGCAAAGGTGTAATTTTCTTTAATAAGCTAATTACTAACAAATATTGAGAGTATTTGTAATTGAAATATAAATGCTATTCTGCTTCCTTGACTTTCTTACATTAAATTTGTAATGCCTTTCACTAGCCAATATATCTATTTCCTTTGAAGAAATTCATTCAGATGTTTTCATTTAAGAAATTCCGAAGTTAAAATAACATGATATATCTTTGAATAACAAATTTGCAATGCTTAAAAAAAATTGTGACTCTGAGGAAGTACTATAAAAAAATGCTGGTGAGAATGAAAACTGGTTCAGTCTTTCTGGAGAGAAATTTGTCAAGACAAGTCAAAACTTGTTCCCAAGAAAATTAACATGTATGTACACAGAGAGTTTCCTGCAGCCTCCTTAAAGAATCACATATAATAAAAGAGAAACATGCAAAATATAACCATCCCTCTGCTATGCTCAAGCCACGCCCACAAGCCACATCCACCAGCCAATCAGGAGCGAGTATGCAAATTAACCAAACTAAGATGGTGGTGGCCATGGAGCTGGAGTTAGCAGGAGGCTTGGGTTGCCCCTGCAATGGAGGAAGCTAAGCTTCCCGCCTGCCCTAGCCGGCCCTGGGCTCTGCTCAAGGCTACAAATTTTCAATTATAGAAGATAAATAAATCCCAGAAAAAAGAGAAAAAGAAAAAAAGGAGAGGCTAGGAGCTCGGGTCACCGGGGGGGCGTGGCCAGCCTGAAAACAGCCATCAGCCCCTCACCAGGCTGTCCAGGCACCCCAGTGGGACTCCCCCCCGCTGAAAGGGCTGTGGGCAGCCTGAAAACGGCCCTCAGCCCCTCACCCAGGCTGGCCACACCCCCATTGGGTGAGGGTCCCCACTGGGGGGCTTGACCAGCCTGCAAACAGCCCTCAGCCCCTCACCCAGGCTGGCCAGGCACCCCAGCGGGGACCCCCCTTCAGCATGGGGGCGTGGCCAGCCTGAAAATGGCCCTCAGCCCCTCACCCAGCTGGCCAGGAACCCCAGCAGGACTCCCACCTTGAAGGGGGTGTAGCCAGCCTGAAAACAACCATCAGCCCCTCACCAGGCTGTCCAGGCACCCCAGCAGGACTCCCCCACCCTGAAGGGGCTGTGGGCAGCCTGAAAACGGCCCTCAGCCCCTCACCCAGGCTGGCCACACCCCCATTGGGTGAGGGTCCCCACTGGGGGGCTTGACCAGCCTGCAAACAGCCCTCAGCCCCTCATCCAGGCTGGCCAGGCACCTCAGCGGGGACCCCCACCCTGAAGGGCGTGTGGCCAGCCTGAAAATGGCCCTCAGCCCCTCACCCAGCTGGCCAGGCACCCCAGCAGGACTCCCACCTTGAAGGGGGTGTAGCCAGCCTGAAAACAGCCCTCAGCACCTCACCGAGGCTGGCCAGGCACCACACCCTTCAGGGCAAACCAGCCAGCCCCCACCCATGCACCAGGCCTCTCTCCTATATAATAAAAGGGTAATATGCAAATTGACCCTAACAGCAGAACGACTGGGAATGACTAGTCACTATGACACACACTGACCACCAGGGGGCAGACGCTCAATGCAGGAGCTTCCCCCTGGTGGTCAGTGCACTCCCACAGGGGGAGCTCTGCTCAGCCACAAGCCAGGCTGATGGCTGCCAGCACAGCAGTGGTGGTGGGAGCCTCTCCTGCCTCCTCAGCAGTGCTAAGGATGTCCGACTGCAGCTTAGGCCTGCTCCCCGCTGGCAAGTGGACATCCCCCAAGGGCTCCCGGGCTGCCAGAGGGATGTCTGACTGCCAGCTTAGGCCTGATCCCCTGGGGAGCAGGCCTAAGTCAGCAGGTGAATGTCCTCCAAGGGGTCCCAGACTGTGAGAGGGCACAGCACCCCCCCCCAGTGCACAAATTTTTGTGCACCAGGCCTCTAGTTTATAATAATGAAACAGTAAATTATCTAAGTATTTTTTTTACCTAAATATTTAACAAAGTGGAATTAATGGAATAAACTATGATGCACAATACAATAGAATTCTTTTCACCTGTTAAAATAATTTTTGAAGAATGAACTATTTAATGTCACAAAAACACTCATTTTCATTGGTAAGTGAAAAGAAGGTTACATGTATATATTTTACAATCAAATATTAGCTATCTAATCTTCTCAACCATTTTATGAAGTATATTATTCTCTTCATTTATCAGGTGAGTAAAAGCAGGAAGCTAGATAACTTGCCTGAAGGTCATACAGTATGTACAGTAGGGCACATATGTATTATATATGTGTGTACATATGTTTATATATTAAAATACAGGGTAAGACCAAAGTATGAATAGTGACCATTTCTGGGAGTGGAATTTGGAGTGATTTTTATTTGCATTTTGTTTGCTTAGCTCTAAAAAAATCCTACAATTTAAAAAGACTGCATGAGGCCAGTGTTGAGCAGCAGAATCCAATCCTAGCTGACAGTCTCCGGCAGGCTGCTTGGCCATTCAAAGCCAGCAACCTGGCCTGGCAGAGTGTCCTCTCCCTCCATGGTGAGCAGGGGTGGGCATCATCTTACTCTAGCGTCTTCATACTCTCATCACTTACAGCTAACATTGTACTCACTGTTAATTAATAAAACCTTTGGTTTTTCATCAGTGGCCACTTGCCAACTTCTTTTCCATTGGTCTGTGAAGGCCACGCCACTTGTACTGCTGCTTCTGCCCGAGTCACCTGCGTCCTCAGTTTTCTCCCGGGTCTCAGCCCACAGGCGAGACCCAGCCTTTGTTCTGACCTGATTCCTGTCCGCTCTCTCTCTTGTGCCTGGATATCGTCTATTTAAGGTCAAGCATTCCTTTTGCAGGAAAACAGCTGAAGCTGTGCTCCCATCTGTTACCTTGGAGACTGACTCATGTCCAGAACTGGAATTTGCTGCTGGACTGGCTAACTCGCTAGCCCTGTGTTTTTCCATTTCTCACTTATTCCTTTCCAGTGATCTCAAAGCCTTCTCCATCTCAGCATTCAGAATGAGCATCAGGCTGTGGATTTTGCTAGCTTCTTGGCAATAGTCCCTTTGGTAACTTAGTAAGATTGTTGAGGTAATTTCAATAGTAAAGAAAAATGTAGAGGTTCGATGGCTTATATCAATAAAAATGTCTTGGGACAGGTACCAGTTGATTACTCTAGATTTAGGTGTTAATTTCTAAATTTCATGTAAAATGTAGGTCTTATATTAGACTGTAAACAACTAACGTGAATGGCTGATTTTTTGCCAATGGTACAGGTTATCACAGTAAAATGAAAAAATGTAACAAACACCAACACAAATGAGTAAATGCAGAGATCTATAAATATAGCAGGGTGGGTAATCCTCTATCACTGTAATTTATTACTTACCTGAATTAAAAACACTTTGATGCTACAGTCTTCTAAATCAGTAGCTGTTATTCGTAAATTTTGGTGGTTCGCTCTTTGAATTTCCATTTGAGTCCAGAGTTTGCTATTGAGAATCAGCCTCAGGCTGCCTTGATTGCGCATAACTAAAACGGGAAGGTGAATACATCAGACTACAGAAGAGTTGATTTCTTACCCTCTCAGGGGAATTCCCCCATTTGAAAGCAAAGTAAATCTTGTACTGATTTTTCAGATTGTATTTTCACTATTAAATTTGACTAGATTATAACTTGTTTTTCAAATTGGACTTTATTATGTTAAAGAATTTTTTAAATTTATTTTTTGGTTAAAATGCTGGAATTATATATTTTTACTATATTAAAAATGATTAAAATTTTAGAACTCCTTTGGGGACCTACTGTTCTTAAGAATTTACCCAAAAACTGTTTAAAATAGAGAAAACTGAAATGGAATTAAAAAATGGAATGAGTTAAATAAATGATGGTACAGCTAGTCAAGGTATTATGAACCCATTAAGAAGACTGAAGAGGCCCAGCTGTCATCGACCTATTGAACTAGGAGGTCACAGTTTGATTCACATGCCCGGGTTGCAGGCTCCCTCCCCAGTAGAGCATGCAGGAGACAGCCAATCAATGATTCTCTCTCATCATTAATGTTTCTATCTCTCTTTTCCTCTCCTTCCTCTCTGAAATATATTCTTCCTCTCTGAAGAAAAGAGAATTATTGATGTAGAAAAGTGATCTTGGTATATACTATGTAAACAAGAAGAAATCCAATTGCGAAGCAATATAAACACCACGAAACACACCTTTTTCAGTATATGTATACCTTTATGTAGACAGAGAACAAAGTCTAGAAGAATATGTATTGTAAACAGAAGCTATCACAGGAAGAGAGACCTTTCAGCGATTTCTTTCTGTTGATCCATATTTACTGTCTTCTATAATGAACTTGTATGTCCTGTATAATTTTTTTTAAATGGGTTGTTTTGTGTCTCTTTGGCAGGTGGTGGAAGGAGTAAAATTAAACCAAAGTAGAAAAACAACCAGCACCTGCCTTGGGAATAATACTTAGAAACCTGTTTGCCAATTACGGAACTGAAGGCACTGTTTGTATTCTCTCAGTCTGAACTCTATTCCGTACCCATTTGTTGAGCCTGATATCCGAAACTCAACACACGTGCATACACTTAGATCCGACTTCTATTCGTGGTCTTCTCCTCCACAGCTCTCTCACTGGCTAGTACTGACCAGTCAACCAAACCTATCCCCCACCCAGATCTCAGCGTGGGCTCACTTTACGTTTGGGCCTCTGAATGAGGGCCACTGTGCCTTTCGGATGGATGTCTTTCAGTGTGACTGACTCCAGGTTCCAACCATCACTCTGCCTGCAGGATTCAATAACCACACACCTTTATTTCCTTGGAAACTGACCCTTCATCCCAACCCACACACCAGGCTATGAATGGCACTGTAAATTATAGGGCAGATATTCTTTTTTAGGAAAACTATTTTCACTTTTTAAATAATTTGTGTCATATTTCTTTAAATAATAATGGGTTGCTATTTAGGTATGTGGTGGGCTCCTTCATGGGTACTTTACATGCATTATTATCTCACTGAATTCTCACAATCATTAAGTTATGGACTATTATTACATTTTCATTTATTGATTTTGAGAGAGAGAGAGAGAGAGAACAAGAAATACCAATTTGTTATTCCACTTACTAGTATTTATTCATGCACTGGTTGCTTCTTCTCTGTGCCCCAACCAAGGATCAAACCTGCAACCTTGATGTATCGGGAGACCAGTCTTACCAACTGAGCTTCCTGGCCAGGGCCATTATCCCCATTTCAAAATGGCAACTGACTTGTCTGAGGTCACCAGGTAGTCAGTGGGGGAGCCAGAACTGGGACCAGTGTCCTCTGACATAAGGGCCTACTCTAACCAGGAAGCTCCTCTGGCACACTGGAAAACAACATTGTTTTCAACAGTCTGATTCCTCGACATACTTCATGGCACATCTCCAGACAACGGTTTGCACCTGTATTGGAAATTTCCCCCTGAGACATAGCGTCCTGCGTTACCAGCGGATCCCTTACTTAGTCTTGACTGGAAGGCCCCCCGGTCACTGCCAGCTGTGTCATTCAGCCTCAGCGCTCCCCGGCCCCTTTCAGTCCAGGACCGGGTGGTTTTGTTGAACACAAAAAGCTTGCAGTTGACCTGAAGGGCAATATTTTAGAATGTGAGACGTATAGAAAGTTTCTTCAAATCCCTCTCTATACTTTTGTTTATTTGATCTTTTACCAGAATAATCTTTGTTAATGATTTACACATCAGTTTTAAAATATTATTTAAACTTAAATATTATTTAACTTTATGAATATACAAGTTTTTAATAGTTCAAACATCAAAAATCAAGAAGATGGAAGAAAAGGGAGGACTTATGTAATAATTTCAACAGTAAATATTTTTTAAAAAGCAAGATATACAAAGTGAGAGGTCCCTCCCCAAACCTAGTTTCCCATTTGTACTTTCTACCTCCTGTATCAGTAATCACTATTGGTAATATTAATTCTCCCATATATAAGTATATATATGTATATATATATATGACAATACATATATATGTTCCCCCTTTTTTTCCTGTAAATGGTAGAATAGCATACTCCTTTCTGTATCTTGCTTTTTCATTTAACAATACATAGTGTGGTAAAAGTAGGTTTACTGTTGTGAGTACATACATGAAATAGAGTTTATTCTTATATTATTACTTATTAATTATTGTATTATTTTCCATATGAACAACTGTAAACCTACTTTCGCCCTACCCAGTATATCTATATAAACACCAACTTTTAAATTAAACTTAATGCTATTTGAGCTGTGTAATTTATTTGAAGGTAAAGCAATGATGGAAATAGTTGTATGCTTTAAATATTTTAAAGAATAGAGCATGAGAGCTAAGATGTGACACCAGAGTGCCCTACTGGAATTTAAAATACCAGTGGCTCTCAAATGTCACTGTTTGTGAGTCACCTGGATGACTTGTTGAAAATACAGCATCAAGGAAGGGTCTCACCCGTCACAATTACTTCCATAGTCTAGGGTTAATCTGATCCGAAGTTATGCTTGGAACACACTTTATAGTAAACGTATTAGCAGATTGTGAGGGAGGAGAAGAGGAAAGGAGGAAGAGCAGATGTAGACAGACAAAGGGAAACCCGTGCCTTGTTGAGAAATGATCAAGTTGCAGTAATTACACTTCATATGCCTGGGCTGATACCTAGACCACATTCAAACCGATGGTGATACTGTAGACGCATTTGTGAAAGTTTTGATTTATATGACATTCAGAACTTACAAACTTTCAAAAGGGAAACAAAATTCTTTTACTTTCTAGAACTAAAATCAATTCATCTTATCAGCACTTTAAAACCTTCCATGTAAGTTAAAATTTTAAATCCTATGATAATGGCACTGATTGTACAAGCAGGTTGTTGAACAGTGTACAGAGGTCAAAGTTATATTAAGAAAGTGTCCTGCCCTAGCTGGTTTGGCTCAGCGGATAGAGCGTCAGCCTGCGGACTGAAGGGTCCCAGGTTCGATTCTGGTCGGGAGCATGTACCTGGGTTGTGGGCACATCCCCAGTAGGGGGCGTGCAAGAGGCAGCTGAATCGATGTTTCTCTCTCATCGATGTTTCTAACTCTCTATCCTTCTCCCTCTCCCTTCCTCTCTGTAAAAAAATCAATAAAATATATTTAAAAAAAGAAAGAAAAGAAAAGAAAAGAAAAGAAAAGAAAAGAAAAGAAAAGAAAAGAAAAGAAAAGAAAAGAAAAGAAAGAAAGTGTCCTGAGCTGTCTGCTTCCTAAGGGACTAATGTGAATGGCTGTAAACCCAACAACCCAGTTTTCCTGCAAGTTATAAGCACAAATGTAAGAATACAACAAAATACTGCTTTAATTTTTGGAAGTGTCCAACATTTTTATTTAAGCAACTCAGTTTTCTTGAAAAGTATACTTCTGCCTTTTTTAAAAAAAACATGTCCCTGTTGATGATAACTTTATATCTGCAAGGGCTACCAAAAAGAGCAATATATGATATACAGACCTTTAACACATTATATTCCGCTTCTTCCCCTGTTATTACATCAATTTTCTTCAGCAAGTATTTTGGTGATGATTTGGAAGAGAGAGCAGCAGCTGATTCAATCAGGGATATATTTTTAATAGTGTCTGTTCCTAAGAGAAAATAGGGGGGAAAACCCATAAAAGGCCCCATTTTTTCTAGTGTGAACGTCCTCTGTTGCCCCTATTAAATATTAGTACATCTCTTCCACTTTTTTATAACAATGAGTGTTTCTAAAAAACCCAAGTTCTTCAGGTTAAGAAAATCTCTTTAATGACTTGCCATGTATTTAGTCAAAAATTTTAAAAAGCGTCTATATCATGTAACCATATGTATATGCTTTATTCTTTACCAACAAATTTGAAAGTACTGGACTATTGCTTTTGTATTTTGTAGATGTTAAACAAATGACATCGGAAAACAGGAAATAAACTAGTCAAACCAAATGTTTTACAAGTGAAACAATTCTTACTTGAGTTTGGAGAGTTGATAGGAAATTTTAGAGTGTATTTGAATGGCTTTTCCTTGGCATAGGAGTCATTTTCAAGTTGAGGCTGGGTGAGTTTTTGCATACCCTAGATGGGGGAAAGATGCGTTACTTAATTTTACCCTCTTATATTTGCAGGAAGCCAAAAGATATCTTTGTTCTTCTGTTTAAAACAAAACCAACTGCTGTGTTTTTGTTTGGGCTCCCTCTGTGCTGAACAGGAAGTTGCTCCCTCTCCTTGCAGGACCTTGGTCCTGGTCCCCAGGAAGCAGAGCCCAGTGACCACCAGTCTACTTGGGTGGGATCCGGTTCCAGGGACGATGTGAGAAGTTGTAGAGGCCCCAAAGGAAGTGACAGCTGTTCCATGGGACCACCAGACTAGCCTGATACCTACGAGGAGGTGCAACTATTATCTGTTTCAAGGTATTTCAGTATGCCCAGCAATCCGCTGTTCTATCCACAGCATTAAAACATCACCATAATAATGGCCCTGTCTGGGTGGCTCAGTCGTTCACCTCCTAGTCAGGGCACATACTTAGGTTGCAGGTTCAATCCCCTGTAGGGGCACGTATGGGAGGCAAACGATCAATGCTTCTCTCTCACATTGATGTGCCTGCCCTCCCTGCTCTACTCCTTCCTCTCTAAAATCAATGAACATATCCTGTGGTGAGGATAAAAATAATAATAATAATAATAATAATAATAATAATAATAATAAAATTATCCAGAGATCCCACTGAGCTGTCTCAGAGATCATCTTCATAGAAACAATCTTTTTTTAAAAAAAATATTTCTTTATTGATTTCAGAGAGGAAGGGAGAAGGAAAGAGAGATAGAAACATCAATGATGAGAGAGAATCATTGATTGGCTGCCTCCTGCACACCCCCCACTGGGGATCAAGCCCACAACCCAGGCATGTGCCCTCGGCCGGAATCAAACCTGAGACCCTTCAGTCTGCAGGCTGACACTCTATCCACTGAGCTAAGCCGGCTAGCGCCATAGAAACAATCTTAATTTTCCTCCCATCAGCTTTTGCCAACAATGGGTCTTTGTACATGTGTTATAATCAAGGCCTGTGTGAAAAGGACTGAGTAGTTCCCTACCATTTATGACCCTGTATAACCCCCTGCAGAACAGGGAAAACTGGAATGATTCTCAGGTTTGTATCATTTCCTTTATAAACTGTTCAAGGTTTGCTCACAATATTTAACTGGACATCAAGAATAGTCTGTTAAAATCGGTAGACACGAGTATATCTATTTCAAAGGGACAAAAACAAACAAACAAACAAAAAACTTAAGGCACAGAAAGCTTAATGGCTAACTCTAAGAGCACATGGTCAGCTAACCAGTCCGAAGGATATCCGGGCCCCCAAGTCACTAGGCCGCGGGATTACAGGATTAACTGAAGACAAATACAAGTTTTCACCATTGCTCCTATCTGTAGGATGTTATCAATTTAAAGGGAGAGGAAGCGCAGATTCTTTTGTAAACCAAATGGGAAGTGCCCAATAGGAAAGCACACAAGTGCCTCCTCCAAGTACATCGACAATCCTGATTAGGTCCTTTGTACAGGTATCTCTCTGTCTCATGCAGTTTTCAAGCCTGGCTGTATATTAGAATCGCCTGACACCTGGCCTCAACCAAAAGATCCTGAAATGGTTGGTTTAGGGAGATGCCCAGGCATAAAAATACTGTGGAGGCTCACCAGATAGCTAGTAGGCAGGCAAACTGAAGACCGACACCAATGCTTTATGTATCATAAGAACACAATACCTTTGTTACATTGAGTTGAATGCTAATAAAATACCTTATTTTTGTCGGTGACATCTCACAGAAGCTAATCTGGTGTCCAATTTAGGACTAAATGTTATGGAGTAAATATCCCTAAATATATTGCCTGGAATTTCATTCTGGAAGTTGGTCCATTCTGGTTCAGATGCAAAGGTGTGCGTCACCAGCTCTGGGATCGCAGGTGTTGACCTTCGTTTTGGGAGGGACCAAAGAACGCCTCTGAACTAGAAAGCTATGCCAACTGCTCTTGGGATTAGGGTTTAGCCTGAGGCAGGTATGGAATAAACAAGATCGTAAAAGTGACTGATTGGTGGAAGCCCTAAAAATCTTGGAATAAACTGGCCTCATGAGTTGGTCCTCCTATTAATCTGAGCCCGTTCATGGGTTTTTAAATCTCGACAGCCTCCCTGGGTCCTCCCTGTAACTAGCAGCCCACAAGGCAAGCTAGCCACCGAGGCCTATCTTAGCCAAGATTCTGGTCCGGGTCAAAGCTGGGAAGAGCATGAAGATGTGATGGACTAGATTACAGCACAGGCACACCTGCTCCATAGCGTTCACGTTGCTGTATAAGTCCCCCGTCCCCACCTCCCTCCTAGATGATGCTCTTAGAGACATCCCCTAAGGAGGGCAGAGCAGCAACTGCCTCCCGCAGGATTCTCAGTAGTGAACGAAGAGGGCAGTAATGATAGTTCCGGGTCTCCACCTGGCAAGCATGTTCCCCGGGCAAGTGATTTTCCCCTTAAAGCTAGACGCAAGTAAGTTACAGTAACACTTTTCAAAGTAAGACCTTGAAGGGAAAGGTTGTGGCTAATGAGAAAAAATTGGCAAACAATTTTAAAATCATCTTATTACCAAAAAAAATGCTATTGAAAAATGATATTAAGATGTCATTACCAGTTGAGCTTATCTAACTATTGCAGGTAATTCTGGGATTTCCTTGGGTACCTTTGGGTTAACGCGAGTCAAGAACTATTTAATATTTCTCATCAGTAATAATGTTATAATTATACAATTCTCTTCTTCTGTGGGTTGTCTATTATTCTAACAACGAAAACTAGCTTCCCAGGGGACTCTTCCCAGTTAAAGAAAGAAAACGAGCCTTTGAACCCAGGAGTTGGAGTGTGCTCCGAGGTAACACTGTTTTCATTAATTTGTCTTCAGGAATTTGAAGTGACAGCTCTCTACATAATAAGAGAAACATTTGCCAAAACCTTACCAAAACTCTCTCTACCATGTTTTCTCCAAAAACGAAGTTAGAACTGCAGCTTTTAAAAGAATACTTATCTTCATTTGGTTGACATCTAAAAAAAAGAAAGAAGCATTTGCTATTTTATTTATGTGTGTGTGTGTGTGGGGGGGGGTGTTTAAAGCTTCTTTTTGCTATAACTATTGCTTTTTCCTCCTTTCATCAACAATTGACTTATTTTTTACATTTTTAACTAAATTTTTTTCAGTTATAGTTTACATTTAATATTATTTTGTACTAGTTTCAGGTGTACAGCCCAGTAATTAGACAATAATATACTTTACAAAGTATTCCTCCTGATGTCTCCAGCACCCACCTGGCACCATACGTAGTTATTACAGTATTATTGACTGTATTCCCTGTGCTGTACTCTACATGCCCATGACTGATTTGTAACTACCAATCTGTGCTTCTCAATCCCTTCACCGTTTTCATCCATCCCCCAACTCCCCTCCCCTCTGGCAGCCATCGGTTTGTTCTCTGTAACTATGAATCTGTTTCTGTTTTGTTTATTCATTTATATTGTTCTTTAGATTTCACATGAAATCATATGGTATTTGTCTTTTTCTGACTGACTTATTTCATTTACCATAATACCCTTTAGGTTCATCCAGGCTTCACAAATGGTAAGATTTCATTCTTTTTTTATGGCCTAGTAATATTCCAATATTAATGGCATTAGAATATTAGAGACATTTTGAAAATCATTTTAAACTGTGTTCTTCATAAAATCTTCTTTCAAACAGAAATATTGACAATTTATCTCTATGATGTCAGAAAATTATTTTCTGTAAATGGTTATAACGATAAAAGAAAGCAACAATGAAGGAACAGCACTCACCCTACTGATGCAGCACCCAAAAGAATCTGGTTGGTAGACAGCTGGATTGAAATTCCAGCATTTGGCAAATTTTCACTTAGCAAAGAGTTCTTTTCAGAAATCTGAACGAAAAGAGATCCATCAAAAAGTTCATTTAAATTGCTTCCTATGGTGGCATCAGATAAGGAAATAATAGTTATAGTTAAATGTATTGAAAATTTGCTGTATTCAAGTACTGCCCTGAGCATTATATGTACACTATCTCATTTTCTGTTCACAACAACTCCATACACTTTGTACACCCATTATTTATTATCCACATTTCCCAGATGTGTGAACTAACCTAACGCGTTCAAATAACTTGGCTAGGCCTGGACAACCAGGAGTGGGGCTGATGTCTGAACCTGGGTCTGTCTGACACCAGAGACTATATACTTGGTCCTAATATTTCAGAAATCCGACTCCTTTTGTTCCTTTTTTAGCTAAATGGAGTTAATTCTCATTTCTAGGTTAGTAAATCTATCTTTCAGGTTTATTTTATCCCTGGAAGCAACTAAGAGCTTCACCATCACCACCATCCAATCAGTGTGGGAGGAAACTCCATCTCTTCACCTAGGAACATTGGACTGGTAACTTAATCAACAGAAATGTGCATATGTACATAAGTGTTCATGTATAAATGAAGGAGTGGGCACTTTTAGAACTGGAAGGAACCCTAGAAAGATCAGATCTAGTGTCTCCAATGTTTTGTGGACACCTTCCTTCCCCTACCAGAGATGTAGTAGGGAGTTCATGTCTTTAAAGGCAGGTGGGCATGGCCAGCATGGCTCAATAGTTGATCTTTGACTTATGAACCAGGAGGTCATGGTTCTAATTCTGGTCGGGGCACATGCCCGAATTGCAGGCTCAATTCCCAGTGTGAGGCGTGTAGTTCGTAGCCGATCAATGATTCTCTCTCATCAGTGATGTTTCTATCTCTCCCTTCCTCTCGGAAATCAATCTATAATAATAAAAGCATAATATGCTAATTAGACCAGTTGTCCTTCCAGACGACCTTCCGGACAAAGCCGGGGCTGAGAGGGAAGCCCAGGTCCCAGGTGCCAGTGGGAAGCTGGTGCTGGCAGCCGGGGGAAGGAAGGCCCACTCTTGCATGAATTTTGTGCATCAGGCCTCTAGTAAAAATATATTAAAAAATAAATCCCCAGCCCTAAGCGGTTTGGCTCAGTGGATAGAGCATCAGCCTGCAGACTGAAGGGTCCCAGGTTCGATTCTGGTCAAGGGAATGTATCTTGGTTGCGGGCACATCCCCAGTAGGGGGTGTGCAAGAGGCAGCTGATTGATGTTTCTAACTCTCTACCCCTCTCCCTTCCTCTCTGTAAAAAAAATCAATAAAATATATTAAAAAAAAAAAAAAAGAATGAAGCCCAATCTTAAAAAAAAAAAAAAAAATCCCCAGTGTAAGGCATGCAGGAGGCAGCCAATCAACAATTCTCTCTCATCATTGATGTTTCTATCTCTCTCTCCCTCTCCCTTCCTCTCTGAAATAAATAAAAATTAAAAAATTAAAAAATAAATATTTCCATCAAACAAATAAATGAATAAAATAAAGACAGATGGGGTCTGTTTCTACTTTAATCTTATATCAACCAATAGAAATAATTTTGAGTAGTTCCCTATTATAATAGAATTTGAGAGCTGAGAAATATATATCATGAGAATATGCATCATTGGTTAGCAACAATCAAAATATATGTTCATGACTCAGTCACGCAGAGGATTCATCACTCAGCCCAAATCACAGATTTTACTCTTAAAGTTGCTTAAAATAGTTTTTATTAGGCATATATGGTTTAAATTATACACAATAAGTGACCACTGATTAATGACAGGATGTATAAAAATATTTCTGATTTTGATATACAAGTTCATAAGGAACATGAAAATAATGGTTCTATAAAATTCACCTAGAAATAATTTTCACTAGATCCATAAATTACATATATTGTCAGAATTCTTACACAGCACGTAGCTAGTCTTTAGATGTTAGAAGATCATTAAATAGAAAATGTGGGCATATCCGACTAGGCTTTTCCCTAATGAAGAGTAGGTTCTATTCATAACCTTCGTGAGTTGTTCACGTAGCAATGCTTACCGACGACGGCCTGAAAATCTCCCTTCTGCTTAATCACTTAGCAAGAAAATGCAAGGAATATATTGTATTTTATTATTTAAATATGCAATTAAGATTTTAAAAAACATGCCGAAGAAGAAATATTGATCTATTTTTGATATCATAACATGTAATAAAAATTTTAATCTATAATTTATGGTAATGCTGTTACAAAATCAAATGCAATATAATAACATTTTAAAATTAGTCAACACATATTTTTTCTTATAAACTTTTTAAAAAATATATTTTATTGATTTTTTACAGAGAGGAAGGGAGAGGGATAGAGAGTTAGAAACATCGATGAGAGAAACATCAATCAGCTGCCTCCTGCACACCCCCTACTAGGGATGTGCCCGCAACCCAGGTACATGCCCCTGACCGGAATAGAACCTGGGACTCTTCAGTCCACAGGCCGACGCTCTATCCACTGAGCCAAACCGGTCAGGACTTCTTATAAACTTTTAAAAAATTAACATGCATCACTTCATAAATAAATAAAAGCTTTTAAATAATATGTGATGATTATTAGAAATGAAAACTTTTAATATACTGATTTAAAATTTAAAACATGTTACTTAAAAATCACATCATAAACCATGCATAAATAATAAAATGTTTTTTTTTAATTCACAATGGGTCTCATGAAATCAGATTTTACCAAAAAAAAGAATTAGAAATATAAAAATGTTGGCAAATGTTGACTAAGTTGAACTCCCTCACTTCACTAATAAAAAGGGAAGGTTGGGTGCTTTTTCCAAGAATGCAAACATAGATAGTAGCAGAGGTAGGATTACTACCAACTTGATTTCTTTTCATTGAATTAATGAACTCACTGTTATTTTTAACACTCCATGTGTTGCTATCCTTATGTTCAGTAAGGAAAAACAAAACAAAATGAGGTGGACCAACCCTCAATAGTTTAGCTGGAAATAAATGACTGATGGAAGTAACTCTTAAATTCCATCTTGTGTCTCATTCCTCTGAAGTGCCCGCTTCTGAAGGAAACAGCTAGAACTATAGCAAGAGACTGTCTCAAACCCATATCTGCATGGCCTGAGCAAAATGAGTATGTCCTTTAAAAGGCCCATGAAGCCTGATTCAGCCACCCACAACAGTCCTTAGCCCACAAGCCCACTTTCTAGGAAAATAACGTATCACAATGGAAGAGAGAATTCTTGTCATCTCCAGAGGCTTCCCAACGCCCCCCTCCCCCTCCCCCCAGTGACACTGTGCAGGTAGTTCCCTGCTCCTGTTATCCATGAAAAGGGATCTGAGTGGGTCCCTGGTGTGACCTAAACCAGCAAAGCCACGCTACGTTTGACTTCCGACTCCCAGCCCCTGGCACCTCATTGCTTTCCCTATTCTCACACGAGATCAGGGCACGGGAACAAGACCACAAGGTTTTCCGTCCTGTAACACTCAGTTTTAAAGCTTCGGAGAGATCACAACACTTGGTCCTGGGAACAGCTCTCCCACGTAAGAGGGCATGTGGAATGCGGTCACTGAGGGCTCTTTGCTCTCTAGGCCAGGTGTTCTCCAGCTCTGCAGCTGATTCTGCAACAATATAAAGCTCAGACGACCCCTAACGACTCCTAATGCTCATGACTGGTGTGGGGCCCACAGCCACCTACTAACGGACGGATGAGGGACTGCGGTCAGTCCTTCCACGGCAGAGTTTTCTTACCTTATTTTTTGTTTGTTCTTTAGTCTTGCAGTGTTCCAATGCATGGTGTCTTACCTTTTCACAACTTTGAGCTCGAGGTGGCTGCAAAATAGCAGGTCTTAGGACATGTTCAGAATGTTTCAAAGGACCTTAATGGAACAGAATTAAAGAGTCAACATATCTTAAGTGAATGAAATACTTCTTCCTCCATATTATTTGACTAATTTAATGATTATGATTAACTAATCAAAGTCAAAATAGCCAGTGAATTGCTTAGTACTTACTTCCAGCCAAGATTTTACCCAATAAGTATTTATTTTGGCCATGGGACCTGGCTTATTAAATACACTCTTTCTCGTTTTGTCACTCAGCCTTACCTCCATCCCCCCAACACACACACACACACACACACACAGAGATTAAAATATAGATGGTAAAATGTAATTTCTGAGGTTTTCGTAATAGAGAAACTACATACTTTGTTCTGCACTGTTCATGTCAACACTCCTTTGCACAAGAGTTGGTGTCATAAAAACATTGTTTTTCTTCACTGTAAGAAAAAAAATATTTAGAAAAAATTAAGTCTAGGAGAGTGGGTCTGTTTCTGTGTGATTTGGGTTCTAACAGTCTCGCATGGAACTCACCAGTAGATGTCAGTGTCCGCACTAATAGGGTAGGAGGCAGTGCACGGGAGAGCGCTGACTGCTAGAAATGCGTGGTGGCAGGATGGGTTGTGCTACATAGTTCTGTTTCCTCTCATAAATGTAAGTGACAATTAGGTCATTAACAGAATAGGCCGTCTTTAGAATCATGAAATGGAATACTGAGGCAAATTCTACAGATTATAAAATCTAAATTGATAAAGAACCCTTACAGAATGTTAAAAAATTGTTAGCAAATTCTGTCCCTCTCCCTACTCTAATAATACCTGGAGACAGAAGTGAAATCATTGTGATACGTTATTTTCCTAGGAAGTGCGCTTGTGAGCTAAGACTGTGGTGGTGGCTACGAGTACAGAATTACTAGACATTTCAAAGTGATCACCTCCTGGTTGCAGAAACAGGAGCCTTGGAGCATTTGAGTAATGGAGATACTCAAAATATCTCCTTTTTTTTTAATATATATTTTTACCATATAAAATCATGCAATTTTTTCTCTGTTGCAATACCACCAATATTCTGCACTACATACAAAGGAATGGTGCTTACTGATATGAAGGTTTCTTTATTCATTCTTTCCTTTTTGTGTAGCTGACTTTTTTGGTCTGATTAAAATAAGAATTTAGCGGTTATCTGGATAACTCAAAGCCATCCCTCTGAGATTAGGACCCCATTCCTCTTACTGTCTGTAACGGGTCAGTGAGGCTTAGAGGGGCTTGCTGAGTTAGAAGCATCTCTTCTGTATCTGAAAGGTGTCTGACATACTGTTGCTCAGTCGTGCTTGGAATTCTTAATAAGAATATAAATTCATTAATTTGAATATGCAGTGGTTCCCAGGTACATGAGGATCAGTGAAAAGAAAGTGAATAGTGTGTGTGTGGTTTTTTTTTTATTTCTAGTGGCAAGCTTAACTTGGAAAAGGCAGTTGGTTGTTCAGTAGAAACAAAAACACCCAAGAATATAAATCATAATTTTAATGTAGAAAATGTTCCAACCATTTCAAATCTTTAATTAAAATAAAATAGTTTTTATTAAAATAAAAGTTTCTATAATGCTTAGCAAAGCATTATAAATTTCAAATAAAAAGGAAGTAATGTTTTAATTAATGAAAAGTACAAAAGGATTAATATTCTAAACTTTAAAATATAAATCTAAAGCATAAACTTTAGAATAAGAATCTAAAGCATAGTTGTATATCTTGTATATACAACTATATGTATTATAAACCATATACATGGAAAATAATAAGTAAAATAAAGCAAATTCTTTTATAGGGCTGCCGTATACAGTATATTGCTAACATAAACATGAAATCCTAAAAAAAAATCATCAAGTTCAAACTTTCTGCCGAAAATAAACAGATATATTATCTGGCTTTGTAAAGTTCTTAAGGTTTTCTTCCGTTCATACTTCGTTAAGACCTCTACTTTGTTTGCCACTAAAATGTCAGTATTTTATAGCAGCTGAGAAAGAAAGATCATCATTAAGGAGAATGGATTTGGAAAGGTCAGCGTGACAGGCTCAAAGTTCTAGAAACTCTTTGAGGCTCACCGTGTTTAAGATACTCTATCAGGCATGACGATGATCTCAAGGCACTTACAGTGGAGGAGCCAGACATAGCATAAACAGCTGTATTACAAGGCAGAGAGCAATGCAATCAACTCTACAAGGAATCACCGAGTGCGTTGAGTGTAGAAGAGAGGCAAACGAAGTCACTGATTATTCAGAACACAGCACTACATGATGACGTTCTTAGAACAAAGTGTCTTTTTAAAAGGTGGACATCTTTTATTTAAGTAGGTGGTTGCTTACGAGAAAATGACTGTTTTCCCTACAAAAACTAATACATGCTTAAGGCAGAAACTTTGTAAACATCGCAAAATACAAAGAGGGAGCTAAAAAACCAAACCACTCATAATCCCATTACCTGAAATAACCATTTCTAACATTGTGGCTTCCGTCCTTTCAGTCTTTTTTCATTGTTGACCAATTGAATGCACTCACCGTACGGTTATATGAAAACAATCTGCTATTTTCATATAACCATATATTATAAGCACTATCCAGTGGGTAGACTTTTAAAAATTATCCATTTGAAAAGTTTCTTAGAAATTTTATACTCAGACTAAACGTAACAGAGAAACACTCACAGTCTACACTATACCTACCTCCTCGGGACTGAGAATCTGTAGTTTGCAAACAAAAAGATGAAGACCGTATGCGCTTTCTTGAAAAACCATTACATTCTGCAAGAAATTCAATGTGAAGGATAAAATTGCTTGCAATAACAAATTATCCTCAACCGATGATATGGGGGACAAATAGAACTTCCTTTTGTCTATACAAATTATCATTGGGTAACACATTAACTTCTGAAGCACAATTTTAAATATTGGGGTTAATAGCTAGGTGATTATGAACTGATAGTCATATCAACAGTTGTGAAACTACCAGACACAAGTAGTTTCAGCAAGAAATTGCATATGAATTCCGAGATTGTATGGAGAATATTTTTGGTACGTGGAAACAAAGGCAGTAGAGAATCATGGGATTTTAGAGTTGTGAACGTCACTGATTTCAGGGACCCTCACGTCATCTCTCAAAACAATAGCCAATCTACTTTCTTGTTTGTTTCTTTGTTTTTAATTTTATTTTAATTTGAAAATATTTTCAAATTTACAGAAAAGTTGTAAAAATAGTACAAAGGATTCTCATATGCCCTTCAATCAGATTCAGCAGCTGTAAACATTTTGCCTCATTTGATTTATCATTCTCGATTTACATACATATTTTGCTGAATCACTTCAGATTAAACTGTGTGTTTTATGTCCCTTACACCTAAATATTTCAATGTTCATTATCTTAGAATAAGAAAATCTCTCATATTATCCCAGTATGATGATCAACTGCAAGAAATTTAACATAACATACAATATTCTGAACTAACCCACCAACCATTATTTTGTCCATTGACTAATAATGTCCTTTGTAACATTTTCCACCCAGTGCAGGATTCAGCCCAGAATCATAGACAGCATTTGATTGTCACAAGTCGTCTATCTCCTTTAATCTGAATTTTCTCCTCAGGCTTTCTTTGTTTCGAAGAATTTATTTCTCATGTTTTAATAAATTTTTTTTTTCATTTTGAGTTTTTAATGCAGTTTGAACTACATTTTCCTGTTGAAATCTTTTTAAATTAAATTTATTGGGATAGCATCACTTAATAACATGATATAAAGTTCCAGTGTGCCATTTTATAATATGACATCCGTATACCCTATTCTGTGTGAGCACATAACACTTTCATGTTTAAACACAAGAAAAACCATCAAGTTTTACATAGTCTGTGCCACATGCCAAAATGCTTGTACCTGCTTACTAGTATGTTCTTTGTCTAAAGGTTGATTTTGAAATACAAGATTTAAATCGTTACCAGGTTCCGCTGCTTCGTGCAGGGTTTCTTCCGCAGGCCTCTGGAAGGAAAGGAAGCTGCCAGTGAGAGTTTTCACACCAGACTTCTCCCCTGTCGCTTTCTAAGAGAATTCTCCACAGCCAGGTCTCTTGAGCGAGGCCAGGACACAGTTGCTCACTGTTAGTCATGAACATGCATTCAAGAGCGAGCCAAGTCCAGCAGAGCGGGTCCACTTTCCAGTGACTGCAGAACCCCTGGGAGCTTCTGAAACTCCTACTTAGGACTTTGAGTGGATGACCTGGGCTGGGGCCCATGAATCTGGTTTTTCAACAAGGGCTTGGGGGGTTAAGATTTCTTTAGTTAACTTTGGGAGTAGTGATATACAGTGGGGCCTTGACTTACGAGTGTCCCGACTAACGAGTTTTTCAAGATACGAGCCATCTCTCGGCCGATTTTTTGCTTTGAGTTGCGAGCTAAAATTCGGGTTATGAGCCAGCTTCAGATACCCCACCGCTAGTTGGCGCAGCGAACGTCACAGTGAACGCCACAACATCAGTCCAGCATCACGTGTCTCACTCGTTCACTTTAAGATTTGACATACGAGTAATTTGAGTTACAAGCTCCGTCACAGAACGAATTAAACTCATAAGTCAAGGCCCCACTGTACATTACCTGCGTAAGAATGAATAACAAGGAAATACTAAGATAAAGTGAGAATACTATTAGTAATCGTATTGTTTGTCTTTTGAAGCAAGTATGATGCTGATAAAAAAGATAGGGTTCTTCAGATCCCTTTTTAAATCAAATATCGCAGTTTACAACTTATTTAATACTCCGTGTCAGGCTGGATTGGAGGAGCCTTAGCCCTTCTGATCTCTTTCAGTCCCTCCCACCCAAGTCACTCCAAAAATGTATAATTTAGTGGAGATTCAAGACAAGGTCACTGGCTTCCCATTGCAGCTAAATTGCTGTCGGTAAATCCCTACTATATAAATATTCTGGAGGCACTACTCTGTAAGTGAAGAATAAGAAAATAAACTTATTCAGCAGGGATATATCATTTAGTGTAGCTAGCTTCTTTCAATATAATTTTCTTTGTCAAAGTAAAAATCAAACAAAAAAGTCACTTCATCTTACCTTAAAAGATTGCTCTCTCTTTTCAAAAACAAATATTGGTTGAGCAATGACAGATTTTTCTGTAAAACAAAAAGAAAAGAAAAGAAATAAAACCATATTTTGACATTTCTAATGCCAACTAAAAATATTTGAAGATTTTGTTTATTTATTTGTATTTTCTTTCTGCCTTTGGGTAAAATCCAAACTGTTTTACATGGATGCTATAAATGGAATATTTATAAATAATTTTAATAGGTAATTACAGAAATAAATACTTGGGGGAAAGTGACAGTAAATCTATTTCCACAAATAGAGTGATCATCCCATTAAAAGAACATGTGTTAAGGGTTTAAGAAAAACAAAATATAATTCCCCGCCTTCAGAATCCCACCAAGACAGAGTGATTAACACCTATACTTTTAGAATAAAAAGTTTCAAGGGGTGAAAAACCTCATTTGATAATAGAGCTCCTCCTTGGATCAGATCTGAAGGTATAGATGTACTGCATTCCAGCTTTAAAAATGATCTAGAAATAATCCATATGTCCTTGACTAGAGTAGTCATATACTAAGAAATGCTTTCAATATTTAGACTAAGAATCAGTGTTAGTGTTATAAAGCAGCTAAAGTTTGTCATCAGCCGTACCAACCTTACTAATCTTTTATATTTTCCTATCTTAGGTAGGACAAAGGGAGAAACTCACTGACTCTACGGTATAAATGGGTGATCACTGCTTTACATATCAGCACTCCAGCATTCTAAGGGAAAATTACATGGCTCTTAAGAGCTTGGGGTCTGGAGTTAGGAGGGCATGTGTTCAAATACAAGTTTCACTACTAATTGGCTTTAGGAAACTGACTATGTCTGTACCCATTTCCTCATCTGAAAAAAGAAAGATTATGACAGTACTTACCTAACAGTTTATGTGAAGATTAAATGGATTTTTAGATCTAATTATTAGATTTTAATAAAACAAACAAAAAAGAATAGTAAACATGTGGCATGCCACCAACCCCCATTTGGAAACTCATAACCAACATGGCTAACTGATGACACACTTTCTTGAGGAGCCCAAATATGAGCTCAGAACTTTGCTCCCGATAGGTTTCCAGAAGCCATTACCAACATTCCGTGCTGCCATACAGGCTGAGGTCACCTGGCACCCCTAGGCTGCATAAATCACCTCTAGCCGGGGCGTTTCAAGGAACTACCACACCTTTCAGATGCCAGAAAGGGTTCTCCAGCTCCCCACAATGTTCTCCATGAGAGTGTCACAAACTCCGCCAGACGGCCCTTTGCTGAGCTCCTGTGGCCACGCGAAGCTGGATGCCTTCTTTCAGCCCAATGGCGTACACTACTCACTTCGTATGCAAGTGCTACTGCCCTGGCCGCCCTGGGAGCCAAGTGAGCCCCAGCACAAAACATGCAATAGCACACTGGCAATCCCATCCACATTAGACTGTAGCTCAAGCCTTTGCTCTTTCTCCAACAAGCTCCTTCCCGGCAGTTACTTTAGATGTAAGAAAGGAGCTCCCTAGTGACTTTGAAAGGAAACTGTCTTTGTGGATGTGCAGGGGAATACTTATGAATCCCAGCAATGAATGGGTCTTTTCTCAACTGGACTTGGATAGTCATTCTTAAAATAGCATGACTTGGCCTCAGCCAAGACAAACTACATCACTTTCCTTCTATCAAAACATTCAGCTAAACACGGGCAAAAGTGATCTTTAATGGCAGCATTAAGGAGGAAATCCCACAGGGTTACTTGCAGCCTGGAAGGCATATGGTAAAGTAAGAAGGCCCTTTTTATTAGTTAATTCAACAAATATTTATTGCACATCTTTTGTGTGCCAGCCACTGTGTTAGGACCCAGGCACACATTGTCTGATTGAAGGTACATTAGCCTCAGGCAGCCGCCTACTCAGCCTGACATGGCCCAGCACATTAGTTAGAAAGCAGATAATCTCCTACCCTCCACTTCCATCTAAACTTTCTCCCTTTCTCCCACGCATTTATCTGGGCTCCAAGACAAAGACAAAGTAAGCACTGATCAAGCCACTGGGTTCATACCAGCTTTCGCACCTGACCCAGTAGGAAAACCCTATATAATAAAAGGCTAATATGCAAATTGTCCCCTCGGGAGTTTGACCAACCTGGAGTTCAACTGCTCACTATGATGTGAAATGACCACCAGGGGGCAGCACAGAATGAAGGAAGGCCCTGGCCAGCAGCTGGCAGCTGGGGGAAGGAAGGCCCCAGTCAGCCGTTGGGGCTGATTGCCGGCCAGGCCTAGGGACACTACCCATGCACCGGGCCTCTAGTTTGAAAATAAAAGGAAGGTCCTTGAAATTATATTTTTAAAATTTTATCCTTTATTATTTATAATGTATTTATTATTCAAGCCATTGACCTAACAAATATGTAGTGATGGATGACTGTGTATGAGATAGTTTGCAAGGTGAGAGAGAGGACAGTGGTACAAGAGGAGGCCAAAGACCAAGTTGGAGCTTTGGGAAGCCTTGCAGGCTGAGCCAGGAGTCCTGTTTTCATTCAAAGGAAAAATGGGAAGCCAGGAAGAGAGTTTACTCTGTGGAGTGATTCACTGGGATATGCATTTGTTTTTTTAAGATCACTCTGCCTGCTGTGTGGAAAGGGGGCCAGTGGAGGAAGGACTGAGAGAGAGGAAATAATTAAGAGGCTAGGCTAAATTCCAGAAGAGACCTGGCTAGGTTGCTCTTTGCTTCTTTGATCATCTTGCATCTCTGATGTTTTGAGGCAAATGGAATAATTAAAAATTTAAAATACAGTCTTCTGTTAAAAGGAATGAAGATGAAAGAATGGGGAGGAGAAACTTAAAAACTTAAGGATTAATTTTGATGTTTTGCCTGTTTTAAGGTTCATATAACATTTAATGATTCCCAATATTCATGGTTGTTTCCTAAACTACTTCATTATGAGAAGAAAGATGTTCACTTATCCCACACATATATTTAAGTACCTGTTATATACAAGAAAGGACACAGTGTACTATTGATATAACTCAACCTCAGTTCCCCTGTCATTCTGCTCCACAATGGAAGCAACCAGTGGGCAAAGAGCTTTTATCCATCATGGTGTCTACTTTAATTAATCACTTTGTGGGTTAAATATGCTTTCTACCATATTTACAGATGCTTACTTACTAGTACAGGTGGAGAAACCAAGGCTCTAAGGCAGGGGTCCTCAAACTACGGCCCGCGGGCCACGTGCAAATACAAATATTGTATTTGTTCCCATTTTGTTTTGTTTTTTTTTTACTTCAAAATAAGATATGTGCAGTGTGCATAGGAATTTGTTCATGGGGTTTTTTTTTAAACTATAGTCCGGCCCTCCAACGGTCTGAGGGACAGGGAACTGGCCCCCTGTTTATAAAGTTTGAGGAGCCCTGCTGTAAGGGATTTGTTCAAAATCATGCCACTAGTAAGTGGCAAAACCATTCATCAAACCCAGGCCCCTCCTACAAATTATTGATTTTAACTCCCACCTGTCATACTGTGATATCTGATACAACCTCACCTGTAAAATATCATGTTCTACATGTATAATATGTACATTGTTGGCAGCAAGAAAAGAGAGAGCAAAGGAAGGGGCAAGGAGGAGACTGCTGGCTTTTCCCAAAAAAAACACTTGTAGAACCATTTGATCCTTCAAACCATATGAATAAGTAGAACTAATATACTTTTTAAAAATAATCCCTTCCTACTATAGTGTCAGACACCCATAATTAAAGGACAAATCTCAAGCTCCTTGCCCAAAATAGACTTCTTCTTGAATTGCACCACCTAGCAGGCAGGCATCCACTATCTTCTTTCTTGGCAGATTCCAGAATGATGGAAATATCTATCTTTATAAAAGCCTAAGTGACAGAATGACTGAACGACTGAACTATTGATTGGCCGGTTGCTATGATGCACACTGACCACCAGGAGGCAGACGCTCAATGCAGGAGCTGCCCCCTGATGGTCAGTGTGTTACCACAGCCAACCTCCCATGGCCAGCCAACCTCCTGCAGTCCCTCACCCCAGACTGAGCAAGATGGCCGCATTGGCTCCGATCTTTGGCCAGGCTGAGGGACCCCACCCAAGCACGAGTTCATACACTGGGCCTCTAGTATGGAAATAAAGGTGAGAACAAGATGGATTCACTGAGTTTGGAATGCATGTTTGAGAGGCATCTCATGTTCTTGCTCTTCACCTTTATTGCAAGTACTCCTCCAAGTCTCCAGACAAGAATTCAGCTAGAAACTTATGCAGATATGTAAGAACTTAGTTCTTCAGGATTCTAAAGTGTGAATAGTAAATATAAATTTCCTTTTCTCCCTGTTCCACAATTTCCCCCAAATCTGGGGTGGGTGGTAAGGTCTTGTCCCTCCTCTATTTCATTGGCACTCAGTCTCTGACAAACAAACCAATTTCATCGAGGAAAGTAACTGGAGGGTTTTCTTGAGGAATCATCTTAATGGAGGAGGTTTGAAAGGATCTACTGAACCAAAAGCAGATCCAGAAGAGGAGGCGGGGACTGAGAACAGACCCCGTGGCTCAGATATGAGCATGTGAGAGCCCCTAGTCGAGTTGCCTCTTCAAACCTTTTTGGAATAAAGCAGAATATCCATCTACCTATCTCTCTCTATCCATCCGTCTCCCACATAGACATATATATATCTCTCTCTATCCAGACATCTACACCCATATGCACATGTACATATACATACATGCATACTCACATAGCACTCTGTCAGACTACAGGTTGCACAGGAGACACTGGATACAAGCGAGGTGCCCTGCCCTCGCTCATTGATCGGCTGCCTCCTGCACTGTCCCCAGTGCTACGTCACATGCCGACACCCTGTGACTCTCGTCGGCTGGAAGAAATGCCTCATTGCTCCTCAGAGGTCTTTCTCGTTCCTTTCACTCATCACCTTATTCTTACCCCTAGCTTTCTCCTCACTTCCCCTGAGCTCCCATTCTCTTATTCTTTCGTTTGTTTGTTTTAAATATCAGGATGTTTCTGAATTCAGGCTATGGCCCATAAATAGCTGTAG